TATGATTGGAGAAAAATGAGAAATAAATACTACTATAACCAAGGCCTTTGTGGGTATTAACTAAGACTGGGAAAGCCCAGCATGCAGTTTAAGAATGCTGCCAGTGAGTGCTGCATCTTTATTGTGTTACCATGACAACCAATGTGAAAAGCTTTGTCCCATATCTTCCTCTTCAAGCATTCTCTAGAGCATGCCACGCAGTTCTGTAATTTCCTTCACTCACATTTTATCCTTAAGTTAATCCCCTTCAAGTACTGTAAATGATGCTCGAATATCTCCATTAAAGATATTTTGTTTCAGCAAATGATGGTCTGATGGGTATGCATACAACACCATAAAATAGGATGGGTATCTGTGGAATTACTGGTCTTGCCGGTATTGTATACAATCGGCATATACTTAACAAAACACAACCTGGTTAATGAAAAAGATAAGTGTGCTACTTACTTTATATTACAAGCAATTACCTAGGCTAAAAAGCTCATGGATGTTCATCATCCTTTAAAGTGTTTGTCACTGTTGGGTAGGAAAAAAAATTCACTTTGGTTTATTTAAAAAGAGTGTTCCATAAACCATGTTTAGGCCAATGTCACACTAGCCAGAAAAATCACCAGTGGCAGGACAACTATGCAGGACACAGCTGGGAAGAGAAACACAGGGAGACAAACATAGTATGTTCATACATCCTAGTGCTCCAGAAACATAGACATCACAAGAATTTACTGCAATCTAGGTAATCTCCAGATACATCTTCAAAAGGTGCACACTTCGCCAATTCTGCCCACCTAAGACTGAGGAATCTCATCAGAAAACTGTAAAAATAAACAGGAGTGCATTACTAAACAACACATTATTATAATTGTTTTAGCTCTGAGAAAGGGAATGTGCTGCCCAAAACGCATACGTTTGCTAATTGAAGTGAGGGCTTGGACTTTGTGACATTGCCCCACAGATGGACCTTCTTCTAATGTGATTTAGACAATGCTATTATATGAATTTTTTTGTATGTTTTTGGTGTTTGGAATTTTAATAAAGCGTTGTTTGGTAATGCGCTAGGCCTTTGTGCCCTCCTGTTTATTTTTACAGGGAGACAAATGTGTTTGTATGTCTCCCTCCTTCACCAGCAGGATGAATGAGATGTCAGTCGCTTGTCGGAAACTTACATTCTGTACCAGAGCGAGGGAGTAACAGCTGTCTCATACTGCTAGCGAAGGAGAAATGCCTGTACAAGTAGGTACAGCATGTGTTTTCTCTGCACACTTTAGTGATCTGGTCTTTGGAAAATTCTCTCAACAGGATCACTAGTGTGACATCATCATTACTGAAAAATTAATTCTGAATTGGTTAGTATAGTAAAGTATCCTATGGAAGGACATGGATAGTAGCAGTTAGTATAGTATGGTGTGCTGCATATTTTGCTAGGCCCGTAGATGTCATAAATCATTTTATATGCCTACTACATGAAGAAAAAGGAACGCGGTTCTCAGACAAAACAGTAAAGCAGGTGTATTTAGTTTGAAAAGCTGTTACTATTACTTATTATTATTATTATAAATACAGGATTTATATAGCACAAACAGCATGTGCAGTGCTTTATAACATACAACCGAACACAAAAAATACACGTTAGACATTTGTAACAACCAAATCAGAACTGTTATTTACAGTCCATTTGAGTGTTGGCTGAAGCTGTCTGCATTGTGCAGTATTTAGAAAGCTTGACTATACAGAAACGCATTTAGAGATAATTATACTGATGAGCTGCAGTAATAAGGGGTAAAACATCCATTGTATTGTAATGCATGTTAATGCCTACGCTGCAAAATATGGGATACATGACCAATGTGAATAAACACTGAAAGTACTGTACATTGCAGGTTTTTTTTTTATATAGGAACAATTTCTTTATATACACTTATTAAATATAAATGCAGAAAATAATCTCTCGAGGTTTGGTTTGGAAATATTTGCATACAGTTCATATAAATGAATAATAACATAACACTTAATTTTACAATTATTGCAAGTTAAAACATTTTAGGTCACTGGCTGAATAATGTGTTGTATATACACAGAACATCAGTACAAAAAAAATATCAGATTTGCATTTTTTTGTTTCATAATGAAAATAAATGTGCACTTATTAATATGCTTAGCTACTCTATGGGGTTGATTTACTAAAACTGGAGAGTGCAAAATTTGGTGAAGTTCTGCAAAGAAACCAATCGTCTTCTGTTTTTTTTGTCAAAGCTTAATTGAACAAGCTGATTGGCTGCTGTGCACAAGATTTTGCACTGTCCACTTTTAGTAAATCAACTCCTATTATTCACTCTTTTCTATTACAGATAAGCAATACAGTTTGATCTCCTCTCCATTCTCAGCCTCCTGATTGGACAATATAGCAGCAGCATAGCGATCCCTATGCCTTCTTCTATAGGCCAGCTCCCAGTTCTATATTTACACTGCATCCAGAAAGTATTCACAGCGCTTAGCTTTTGCCACATTTCGTTATGTTACAGCTTTATTCCAAAATGGATTAAATTCATTTTTTTCCTCAACATTCTATAAACAATACCCCATAATGGCAATGTGAAAGAAGTTTGTTTTGAAATCTTTGCAATTTATTAAAAATAAAAACGAAAAAACAAAACAAAACACGTACATAAGTATTCACAGCCTTTGCCATGACACTCAAAATTGAGCTCTGGTGCATCCTGTTCCCACTGCTCATCCTTGAGATGTTTCCACAACCTGATTGGAGTCCACCTGTGGGAAATTCAGTTGATTGGACATGATTAGGAAAGGCATAAACCTGTCTATATACTGTAAGGTCCCACAGTTAACAGTGCATGTCACAGCACAAACCAAGCCATGAAGTCCAAGGAATTGCCCGTAGACCTCCGAGACAGGATTGTATCAAGGCACAGACCTGGGGAAGGGTACAGAAATATTTCTGCAGCATTAAAGGTCCCAATGAGCACAGTGGCCTCTATCATCTGTAAATGGAAGAAGTTTGGAACCACCAGTAATCTTAAGGGAGCGGGCCGCCCGACCAAAATGAGCGATTGAGAAGGGCCTTAGCCAGGGATGTAACCAAGCACCCGATGGTCACTCTGAAAGAGCTCCAGCGTTTCTCTGTGGAGAGAAGAGAACCTTCCAGAAGAACAACCATCTCTGAAGCACCAATCAGGCCTGTATGGTAGAGTGGGCAGACGGAAGCCACTCCTCAGGAAAAGGCAAATGGCAGCCCACCTGAAGTTTACCAAAAGGCACCTGAGGGACTCTCAGACCATGAGAAACAAAACTCTTTGATTTGATGAAAGAAAGATTAAACTATTTGGCCTGAATGCCAAGCGTCATGTCTGGAGGAAACCAGGCACCGCTTACCACCTGGCCAAAACCATCCCTACAGTGAAGCATGGAGGTGGCAGCATCATGCTGTGGGGATGTTTTTCAGCAGAAGAAACTGGGGGACTAGTCAGAATAGAAGGAAAGATGAATGCAGCAATGTACAGAGACATCCTTAATGAAAACCTGTTCCAGCCCACATAACAAAGGAGTGGCTACGGGCCAACTCTTTGAATGCCCTGGAGTGGCCTAGCCAGAGCCCAGACTTGAACCTGATTGAACATCTCTGGAGAGATCTGAAAATGGCTGTGTACCGACGCTCCCCATCCAACCTGATGGAGCTTGAGAGGTACTGCAAAGAAGAATGGGAGAAATTGCCCAAAAATAGGTGTGCCAAGCTTGCAGCATCATACTGAAAATGACTTGAGGCTGTAATTGGTGCTAAAGGTGCTTCAACTAGGTTCTGAGCAAAGGCTGTGAATACTTATGTACATGTGTTTTTTTTCGTTTTTTATTTTTAATAAATTGCAAAGATTTCAAAACAAACTTCTTTCACGTTGTCATTATGGGGTATTGTTTGTAGAAAGTTGAAGAAAAAAATTAATTTAATCCATTTTGGAATAAGGCTGTAACATAACAAAACGTGGCAAAAGTTAAGTGCTGTGAATACTTTCTGGATGCACTGTACAGCACGGTACAATGCAATAGAGCTCAGCTTGGGTCACACTGTTGGTTCTCCCTCTCTAATTCTGGAGGCATGCAGAATAGATTAAGCTAATATAACAATTATTGCTTAGGCAGTTTATGAAAATATTAAACAGATCCTGCAAATGAAACTGCAGTTTGACCCGACATGAGCCCTTAAACCCATAGTAGCATGTGCAGTTCCAAAAACAGATAAGAAAAGATGCAAGTAAGAGGGACCCTGGTGCTGCATTTACACTGAACTAATTTGCAGCAGGGCCAAGAACATCTCTGATGTGCTTATGCACTGGGCCACTTCAGAGAGAGCATTTGACTATAATGTAATAATATATTTTTTTAATTACATATTATGGTACATTTTAATATTATTAGGTTCTGTGTGAATGAAGTTAGATTTTAAGCAAAATGAATCTTCATGGCTGAAGCTGAGTAGTTTAGGTTTCTAGACTTTCTGGTGATAGGGGTAGGGGTTTGGCGCAACCCTGGTGTTGTGAAGTAGCCGGTAGTTGACTGGTCACGGCCTGATTCACAACACCAGCTGCTTCACCATACCATGCTCTTGTGGAAAGCTGGCCTCATTCTTGTACTCCAGAGGAACAGATGTGATTTCAGTAACTGCCCCTGGCATAAATCTGTGTGAAGAAAGAAAAAAAATGCAGTGTTACATTATACATCAAAGTTAAAATGTTTCTATTACATTCATTTTCATTTTACCAGGTTAGCTTTATGACTGGCTTTCAAATTCACAGCAATAGACACCTGCCAGGTTGACATTCGTCTCTGGTTTCTAAATGTATACCATGGGCTATTAATCTGGGAATTATTTAGGCCAGGGGTCCTCAAACTTTTTAAACAGGGGGCCAGTTCACTGTCCCTCAGACCGTTGGAGGGCCGGACTATAGTTAAAAAAAAAAAAAACTATGAACAAATGTAGACACAGTACGGGAGATGACCAGAGACTGTGGACACAGTACAGGAGATGACCAGAGACTGCGGACACAGTACAGGAGATGACCAGAGACTGCGGACAGTACAGGGGATGACCAGAGACTGCGGACACAGTACAGGAGATGACCAGAGACTGCGGACACAGTACAGGAGATGACCAGAGACTGCGGACACAGTACAGGGGATGACCAGAGACTGCGGACACAGTACAGGGGATGACCAGAGACTGCGGACACAGTACAGGGGATGACCAGAGACTGCGGACACAACGTACAGGAGATGACCAGGGACTGCCGCTCACAGTAAGGGGCACCAGACATTGCGGACACAGTGTGTCAGGAGCAAAACCAGAGACTGCGGACATCATTGGGCAGTGCGATGAATCACTGGGCCGGCCGCTCCATCATTAGTGTCAGTGGGGGGAGGAATAGTGCCCCATCATTGGTGTCAGTGGAGCAAGAATAGTGCCCCATCATTGGTGTCAGTGGGAGGAATAGTGCCCCATCATTGGTGTCAGTGAGAGGAATAGTGCCCCATCGTTGGTGTCAGTGGGGGGGGGAATAGTGCCCCATCATTGGTGTCAGTGGGGGAGGATAGTGCCCCATCATTAGTGTCAGTGGGAGGAATAGTGTGCCCCATCATTAATGTCAGTGGGGGGAGGAATAGTGCCCCATCATTGGTGTCAGTGGGGGGGGGGGGGAAGAATAGTGCCCCGTCATTGGTGTCAGTGGGGGAAGGGGATAGTGTCCCAACATTGGTGTCAGTGGGGGAATAGTGTCCCATCATTGGTGTCAGTGGGGGGGGGATAGTGTCCCAACATTGGTGTCAGTGGGAAGAATAGTGCCCCATCTTTGGTGTCAGTGGGGGAGGAATAGTACGATCATTGGTGTCAGTGGGTGGAATAGTGCCCCATCGTTGGTGTCAGTGGGGGGGAGGAATAGTGCCCCATCGTTGGTGTCAGTGGGGGGGAGGAATAGTGCCCCATCGTTGGTGTCAGTGGGGGGTGGAATAGTGCCCCATCATTGGTGTCAGTGGGAGGAATAATGCCCCATCATTAGTATCAGTGACACCAATGATGGGGCACTATTCCTCCCACTGACACCAATGACACTTAACTTGCTGACCCCTGCTTCAGCATGGTGCTGCTGCAGCCAGCATACCTGGTTGCAGCGGCACCATCTGCACGGCACACTTACCTGTCAGCTGCCTGTGTGCCTTTCCTGAGCTACAGTTCTGGCGCCCAATCACCGGTGAGGAGGTGGAGCCGAGCGGCAGCGCGAACATGAGGGAGTGGCCGGAGTGAAGGAAGGAGCAGTGCTTCCTGGACTGGATCGTCGTGGGACTGGAGCCAGGTAAGATACAGCAGCCCCCTGTACTTAGTGTCCCTTCCTCGCGGCAAATACGCCCTTGCCGGCAGGCCGGATAAATGGCCTCGGCGGGCGGGCCGCATGTGGCCCGCGGGCCGTAGTTTTTAGGACCCCTGATTTAGGCTGTGTACACATGGGTGTCAGTGTAGGGTGTGTAGTGTACATTGCTGAAGATAAAAAGGTTCGCATGACATAATTATGTGTAGTTCCATATTGAAGGTGTTACAAACTCAACTCTATCTCAGAACATTAATGAGAGTAATACCAACCTTTGTTTCCAAGGCCATATGAACCTAATATGGCAGGGTGGGGCTTAGCTAGTATGACTATGTGTAACCCAATTTGGTATGACAGTGGGGCTTATCATCATCTGTTTAGAATACTGTAAAATAGTAATAACTAAAGAAATGAAGGGTGATGCCTATCTTCGCTAGTTACAGTTCACTTCTGCACTCCAGGTGCTTTCCAAAATATCACTTCCTGTGAGCCCATACTTTGATAATATATTAGACAACAGAAGCCTATAGTTTCCTTTGCTGCACCCCTCTGATAGTCTTTGCAAATGACAGCTTAGAGGTTCACTCGGAGTGCAATTCTTGAAGCCTATGCAAGGAGTCTTCAGTGGATGTTTTTGGAAATCACATGCAAGTTTTCTCAAATCACTGACTCAAAGGGATAGGATGCACTGGCACACTACAGCAATATACATAATGAACTATTAGGCTGGTAGTCTGAGCTCCCAGACTCTGTGTCTCAAGTTTAATCTTCAGTTTAGATTCAGCGTTACTTTGACCAGTTTTGATTTATAATGACCATTATTGAATCCATTTTTTATCAGTCATTCCTTTGCTAAAGTATTGCCCCCATCATTTGGGGTGGGGTATGATGATGATTATTATTTTTGAACTATGATGTTTTTGACTTGAATTGTGAGGAGTATTTTCCATCAGGTCCCACCCACTGACTTGTTGACAGTGAGGGGGGCGGTTTTTGATCTGCGGCCATTTAAGGGTGGACAGGACACCAGGTTGGTTCAGCTCTGAAGAAGGGGGCTTGACTCTCGAAACACGTTAGCTTTCCAACCAGATGGTTCTAGGACAGGATGCACTACCCAAGACTGAAGTGCTTACGCTATATGCCTGCTGTTTTTAACCACTTGTGAGTATCCATTTTTCTTTAAGGGTCCAACAAATTGTATGGTGGTTATGCACGAGGAGCTTGCACCCTCTTGTGTGTGTGTGTGTGGTTTTTTTTTTTGCAGTTGACTGGAGATTTCCCACTCTGAGGAGGGCTGCACCTGAGCAAGCATTGCACACTTTACTATCCTGTGGAATGCCTGGGATTGAGCACTGGAGTGTTTTTGATGATTTGATTCTGATTACCTATAATACATTAGCAAATAAGCCAGAGACTAATGTATGACTGCATTATTTATCCTACAAGAAAAGGCAGGTTCTAAAATGCTTTTATATGCTATGAACTGCTATCTGAAAAACTGTCATTAAAAAGCCATAACTCAAATTATTAAACTAGTCTGTATGTTATAGGTAATGATATGTGAAAAGCAATGAAAGTCCCTGAACACTAATAGAGTAAACCAGAGAATTATATTGTTAAATTTGTAATCCTTGCATCTCTCCACAAATGAACAGACATTTTATGCAGTGATATATAAAGGAAACTATAGTCTTTTAAAGTGTCTCTGTCACTAAACTGTAAAGAGGCATGAAAGTATTTTTATATTCTTCCACCCACATCACTCTATTGAAGAGAAATCTTCTCTTGGTTCCTCCACTGTGCTCAGTGGATACTATATAACTCACTACAGTATTCTGTATTCACATAGAAGTTGGCAGGAAGAACCACTAAGTGGCAGGGGACCAGGAGACTTACACTCCTAAAAGTGTCAAGCCAACTCCAGACGGCCATTTTTCCTTAACAGTGTGGCATATGGCTACATGGTTGAATTTTTTTGTTGATCAAAAAAAAAATTCAAAGTCTTCAGCTTAAAGTAGAACTATAAGCAAAACTTTTTTTTCCATTTTGGAAAGAGTAAGGGAGGATTGGAACCCTTGGCAGTTTTTTTTTATCGGCATCTGTGTCCCATAACGGAGATTTTCCTTCACTTCCTGTCCCATAGCCAAACAGAAAGTGAAAGGACATCCCTGCAAATTAAGGGAATTCCTTGGGGACCCCCAGGTTACCAGAACTAGTGCTCCCGTTGGAAGATTTCCCCCTCTATTACTTTTCTGGGGACAACCCAAAATTAGTTTTTTTCTTTTTTACTTTCACTTTCAATCATAATGGTAAACAGGACAAATAGGGTGAATCTCCTTAGCGGGGGCACAGTCAGGAATAAAAACTGATAGGTGTTCTAATCCATCTCCACTCTATCCAAAACTTGAAAAAAAGTTTTGCCTTTAGTTATGCTTTAAAGCAAACCAGTGACCATAAAATATTTAGCAACATAACACTTATGTTAAGAGGCAGGCACCTTTGGGTGCCTTCACATCACAACCTCTTTTTTATATAGATCCCTGGGACACCCAAACCTTGGAGTGCTCTATGATTGCTATGGTCATGGAATGTGGCCCAGTTCCCTTCTGAGCCACTCTATTAGTCAGTAATACTATAGTATTCACAGTAGTAGGCTAATAGTGATGTGCAGGAAGTGACTTGGTAACCATTTGAATAATGCCTATGTGCTTCCAGGGTAAACTCCCTTAGATTTTGAGGCTATTTGCTTTAGTCTAGGCATGAAGCTGCCTGCTAAGCAATGTAAATGATATTTGAATAAATATTTTGTGCAATAGGAACATAATCACATAAGCAATTACATCAGTGTGTGCTAACTCATGAAAAGCTTTTTTTTTATTTGCTGCCATATGACCAGTCCAGTACCGGTTTTGTCAGAACATGGATCATCTGCTGGTAGCACTGTGGTTCCCTGGGCGGAGGGTTATAATTCCAGTGTCCACCAACAGGGGTTTACGTCCTCCCCTATTAGTCCCACTTTCTCCCATGCCTGTTGCTGTTTATCCAGATCTTGCTCCTGCCCTGTACCCAGTACCCTGCTGCCTTGTTCCTTTTCCCAGTTTTCTTCCTCCTCCGTATCTGCTCTCAGCACCTCCATTTTTCTCCTGCCTTTCTGGTGTTCCCCATTTATAATTATGTATATATTGTAAATAGTTGTTAGTTAGGCTTTCTGTTTGATGGGTTTATTAGTCAAGTCAATGGGTCTTTGGTTCACTTATATTTTTATGTTTGCTGGTGTTTGGATGGTTTATGTTTCATTGTAAATAAATATCACCTAAAGCATACACAGTTTGGTCCCAGTTTCCTGAGTGTAGCCACACTGATTTGTCCATCCCTGCTGCTGACTCTTGACAAACTTATCTTCATAAGAACAACAACTGAACAATGTTTTCTAACTTATCCAGTCAGTAACGTCACCTATGGAATGATTATCTGGGAAATTCTAGAAGTACCACAGACATGAGATTGGGAGTTACTTATTCCATGTCTAAGAGTCCAGAAAAATTCCGGTGTGTTTTCAAGGTATATCTAGAAAAAGATACACACACAAAGTATTTGAACAGTACATGAGTTATGTTATTATCTATCTGTCAAAAAAGGTATATTTTGGTTTCTGGTGAAATCTGGTTGTGTCAGGTGTCTGTGATAGTGAATCCTTGTAGATCACCCCAGCCTGCTTCTTCCCCAAGGCCCCTGATGGTGGGGATGGAGCAAGCTGCAACCAGGTTGCAGCCCCCGAGTACACCCAGCAGAGGATTTTGAGACCACTCGTATGTGCAGAGTATAAGTGGCAGGAGACAGAGGGAAATCCAGGAAGTAAGCAAGCACAGACAGTAGATGAAGCCAGGGCTGGTACACAGGAAGTCAGACAATGAATACATGTAATAGTAGGCAAACTAGTGATCTGGGAACTGGGAAGTTGATCAGGCAACGTGGGTTGCATTGAGCATGTCTTATATA